TACAAAAGGAAGAATGGATAAACTTAAACTTAAAAACGAATGGTTCTTACCTATCTGTCCTTTTGTTACAATCCTTGCTCCTTGGAGGGGTAAGCCTCTTCTGTGCTGCTTTCTCCCATCACCTTGTTTTTTCTTCTAATGTATGAAGATTTGAATATGTAGTTCAGTCTATTTCTCCTCATGTCTGGCTCTTATCACTTGGTTGTTCTCACTGGCTTTGTGTTGAGTAAGTGATTGATAGCCCAGACCTCTAATTCTTTGATCTTTACTCCATCAGCTTTCATTTCCATTCCATGTCAAGTTCTTCACCCGCTTCATTTTTCATTTTAGTTTAGAGGTCCTATTTGTTTTTGGTACCAGGGATCAAACTCAGGATCTTGTGCTTGCGAGGCAGGCGGCAGAACCACTGAGCTAAATCTCCAGCCCTCATTTTAGTTTGAATCCAGCCTAATGAACATAGTTTGACACTTCATTTATTTGCTATCCCCACTGACCTTATGTTCAGAGAAGTCCTAACCCCAACCAGCTCAGTTGTTAGTGCTCATTTATTCTTTTTTTTTTTTTCCCCTGGCAGTACCAGGGATCAGACTGAGGGCCTTGTGCTTGGGAGGCAGGCCAGGTACCACTGAGGACTCATTCATTCTTGTATCTCAGCTACTGAGCATTACTGACAGAAATGATAGAAACCTGTATATTGATGTTAGGAAAAGTTCACAATCCGCAAGTACAGTTTATGATTCCCCTAGGACTACTAACCCAAAAATAAAATGTTTTTTGAGACAGGGTACCTCTATACAAGTCAGGCTGGCCTCAAACTTATGGTGATTCTCCTGCCTCCGCCTTCTGAGGCATGCACCACCATGCCCAGCTCCCCAATAGTATTTTACCATATTCCTTGGTAATTCTTTCCATTCTCAATAGCTGACCTCTTTTTTGCAATTGTTTTCTATTTATTTCATTCTTGTTATTTCCCACCTTGTTCTTCTCATATAGTTTTGGGTATTTGTGTCATAAATCGAACTCAGGGCCTTATATTTGTCAGGCAGGCACTGTGCTGCTGAGCTACATTCCCATCCCTCTCTTGTATTTTTTTTTTTTTTTTTTTTTTTTCAATCAAACTTGGGACCTTGTGTTTGCAAGGTGCGGTGCGGTGCCACTGAGCTAAATCCCCAGCCCACTCTTGTATAGTTTTAATGAGCATTGTATGTGGTGAGTATTTTCATCATCCTTTCTCTGGAGATAAGTTCTTATGATAGGCTCTACACTTTTACTTTTTGTAGGAGAAAACATGTAACATATAATATAACCCATTCCTGCAAGTAAAATAGTTTGTGATACCTGTTCAGTTTCTGCTTGAATTTAGCACTTTATCATTAGAGAGTTCTTTCTTTTTTTTTTGGTACCAGGGATTGAACTCTGGTCCTTGTGCTTTCAAGGCAGCCCACCGAACCGCTGAGCTAAATCCCCGGCTAGAAAGTTCTTTCTTAACAGTTTAAAAATTATAACTATGTTTTACTCTTGGAGAAAAATTTACTTCCTAAAGGATTTCTTCATATTATCAGCCCCTGTATTCCTTTCAGTCAGTTGCTTTAGTCATCCAGTTTGAGACTATCAGATGTGATTTCTTTCACCTTCCTGTTCTAGTCCCTATCCCAACACTGCATCTTTTTATTTTCACTTGTTTTTATGTCTTTCTCTCCAGTCCTAATAAAATATGTGTTCCTGTTCTTTTCTGAGGCCAATCTCTCTCTGTTTTGGACACCATTCCTTTCTGCCTATTCAGGGACTTTGCTCTGTCACTGACCCTCTGTTTCCATCCTGTTTTGGGTTTTTTTTAAATTTGGGGTACTCCTAGCCCTCCTGTCTTTTTCATGTAACTGTTTTAATGTCTCTGACAGATTTAGTTAAACAAAACCTTCCTGTAATGAAGGTTGTCTTCCTTTACCTCTTTATAGATGAAGTAGGGTCCGTTTTCGAGTTTTACTGTTTTCTTCAATCACTACACTGTGACTTATGACTATTCATATTATTTTACACGACTAGGTATTGAACCCAGAGCCTTGCAAGTTTTAGGAACATGATGTACCAATAAGCTCTATCTCTAGCTCTTTTTACGTTTTATTTTATTTATTTTTGAGACAGGGTCTCACTATATAGATCAGGCTGGCTTTAAACTCACTCTGTAATCCAGGCTGGCCTCGAACTCACAGTGTTCCTCCTTCCTCACCCTCCCAGAATGCTGAGATTATAGGTATGTGTTACTACACCTGGCTGTGACTCTTCTATTTCAATGAAACTTTTGTTCCGTAGATCATCACTGACTTCCCAATTTCTGAATCCAATGGTCTTTACTTAGTTCATCCTTAATTTATCTCTGTTGCATTGAAGCTATCAACTACGCATTTTGAAACTCTCTTTGACCACTGTGATTCTACTTTACATTCATTGTGTCTCTTAGTTGGTTTCTCATACTTTCCCCCAGTTGTTCATTTAAAAACTTCAAACCTTGTGCTCTTCGGCAGTACATACACTAAAAACTTTAGACCTCTTGAACAGTTAAAAAATAGTGTGTTGACTCAGAAGACATATTATGAATATTATGACAGTCTGTCTCATTACATGGTAAGGTTGAGTTTGATCACTTAGATAAGACCATTGTATAAGTGCTTTTTTGCTTTTGTAATTAATACGTGATCTATGGGGTGATATATATCCTGACCCAATGATTTTATCATTCATTGTTTCTTGCCCAGTTCAAGTGTTACTGTAGTGATTATAAAATGGAGACTTTTCTAATTTTATTATTTTTTTGTATTGCACTCTATTAAGAAGTACTTTCTGTTAACGTTAATAACAGTACTGTACTTGTTTAGTTTTATCATACATGAATAATAAATACTGTGAGAAGTATAGTACCAGTACTACTAGCTACAAATCACTGTTAACTACAAACTTGCAACAAATGATTTAAAATTTCTTTGTATTTTAAAAAAATTACATAGGCCAGGGATTTAGCTCAGTGGTTCCACCACCTGCCTTGCAAGCACAAGGACCCAAGTTCAATCCCTGGTACCAGAAAAATAAATAAATAAAATAAAATAAAATTACACATTGGCAGGCCGGGGATTTAGCTCAGTGGTTTCACCACCTGCCTTACAAGCACAAAGACCCAAGTTTGATCCCCAGTACCAAAAAAAAAAAAAAAAAAAAAATTACACATTGGCCACAAGAGCACACAGCTACTTAAGTATTCTTTATCTTGTATGGCAAAACTACCCATGCAATATTAATTTCTTTCTTCTTCTTCTTTTTTTTTTTTTTTTTGAGATAAGATCTCGCTATGTAGTTTAGGCTGGCTGGCTTTGACTATCCTTATGTAGCCCAGGCTCGCCTTGAACTTGCTTCCATCCTCCTGCCTCAGTCTCTCAAGTGCTGGGATTACAGGCATGCACCACCACGCCTGGCCAAATTTATGTATTGAGTTTTATTTTCCTCCTCCATCCTTGTTGACTTCATTTTATTTTGAGAATGTATAAAACATTAACATGGCTCAGAAATCAACATCTGTAGTTAATATTTACAAAAATGACTTAGGCAGGAAAAAATAGATAATTAAAACCATCAAGAGTGATCAAAAATTATATTAAAAAATCCTATTCTCTTTCCTGCCCTTTCACTTTTATTAGCTTTGGGTATATCTTAGTTGTGTTCATTTTTACAGATATAAGCAGATACATGCATGCATTCTTATTTTCTTTTTACACAAAAGATACCATACTATAGATATTGCTGTACTTTATATACTATTTTTCCCCTTGCTTCCATAAAGATATTATTTTCATAGCTTCAAGAACACATTGTGTAGATTCCATAGCTTTTCAGCTAGTTTCCAAAGTATGACCATTTACAGTAGCTTGTTTCCAGTGTTCATCATTACAGTTAATGTGGCAAGTAATAATTTTTTTTTTTTGCAACTAATAATCTTGTGTACAGGTGTTTGTTTCCCAAATGAGTAGCAGTGTACCATCAAGGTAACTTCATAGAACTTAAACTCAGAATGTCCAAAATAGTACATTGTTTTCCCAAAACATGTTTTTTCCGTTTTTGTTCCCTGTCATTGACTAACACCGTCATCTGTCCTATCACTTAAGCAGAAACCAGGGTATCATCATTTCTTCTTATATCTAACTAGTCAATGATGTACCTTTAGTCTTTTCATTATTTTCCACTGTTCTTAATTACAGGTCTTTTTAATTTCTTGTACCAGCCTTCTAACTAGTCTCATTTCTTCCCTAAAACTTCACACTGCTTCTAGTATTGCCTTTCTTAAAGCCAAAAGATATTCATTTCACTATCTCAGCATACCTTCTTTGTCTCTGAGATAAGATTCCAACTTCTTTGCCTAAATATCAAGCCTTCCATTTCCTGGCTTCTGTCTACTTCTCCAGCCTAATCACTAACCACTTCTTGCCTTACTGAACTACTTAGAGATCTCTGGACATACCCTGTTCTGACACTGGTATACCTTCCACATTTCATCTTAGTAACTCTTCAAGGTCCAGCTTAAGTATCACTAGCCACCTTCACAAAAACATTTTGCTAGGTCAGATGGAGTTTCCTGTTCACATATAGTGAACTCTGCTGACCTCTATTAACTTAGTATTTTTTCCCTAATTATCTGGGCTCCCGTGGACACTTCTGCTTTGCTTGGCACAGAGTCTGAGCATAGTAGCCACTCAACAGTTAATGTATGAATCAACTTGATCTGCTTAAAGATTTTTTTTTTTAAGAAAATATGACTTTAGGTTTTCATTTACATATTTACTGCCCACACAAACACAATTCACATGTGTATAAGAAGTGAATGTCTTTCATTACCCATCTCAATCTCTAGTGGGAACTATTCAGTATTGGCCAGAAACCACAAGATAGGTTTTCAAATTACTATAGAATAAAAATGTTCACTATTTTGTTCTTATAGACCATCTCTTTTCCTTTAGGCAATGATAGTAAGAAATGCTAAAGATACAGCTCATACAAAAGCAGAACGGAATATTCTGGAGGAAGTAAAGCATCCCTTCATTGTGGATTTAATTTATGCCTTTCAGACCGGTGGAAAACTCTACCTCATCCTTGAGTATCTCAGTGGTCAGTACACAGTTTGGTGTAATTATATGCATTTGCTCCAGAAACTTGGTCAAAATAATTATTTTCTGGTGGAAAAATTCTTTTCCCCGTTGTGATCAAATAGTTCATAAAATTGATGAGTACATTGAAGGAATTCAGGTGTGAACAGATGTTTCTCTTTGCAGACAAAAATGAAACTTTGAATATTAAGTTTTTGCATATTTGCAGAATTCTCTTAATTATTTTGTAAGTAGCCATTTAGCAAAATAATTGATGTAGAGCCCTCAAATTGTGCTGGGGTAAGATAGTATATTTTAAATAAAACACTAAAATAGACCTTTCCAAACTGGAATGGAAAAACTAATTGAAAATATTGTTTAAAGTAGTGAATATATTTGCAGTTATGTCAGAGTTTTTAGTGTAGCAATTAGTGATAGAACATGCAATTTACGATAGGAGTTGTCCATATTTTTCAGGGCCTGCCATCTGCTAGGAACTTGTTTCCCATGGTATTATTTCTAGATCACAAATAGCTTTCCAGCAAACACACTTTGGATTTCTTAGAAATAAATTTTATAATAGCTAGTCACTTGAACAGAAAACTGCAGGATTTAGCAACTTTGTTGTGACTACTGCCATTTTTTTCTTATAGCTTTATTTTGACCTAGTTTCAGACACATATAAAAAATTTTCAAGAGTAATACAGATAATTCCCATATAGCCCTTGTCTAGGTTCTCTAAATGTTATCATTTTATCATATTTGTTTTGTTTTATCCTCCTTTCTCTGTGTGTGTGTGTGTGTGTGTGTATACGTATATATATATATATATATATACAAGTATATATATGTACACACACATATATGTAAATATATATATACACATACAGTTTTTTTGAATTGAGTGTTGCAGATGTGATTTCCCTGTTATCCTAAAAGTTCATGTTTATTTTCTGAAGTCAAGTACGGTATCTTACATGACTACTAAAATTATCAAAAAATAGGAAATTAACATCGGTACAGTATCTCTCTTTAGTTTTCTTTAATTTGGAATAGTCCTTCAGTCTTTCTTTGCCTCTCCTGAAAGTGACATTTTTTAAGGACAGGCCAGTTATTTTGTAGAGTGCATCAGTTTTTAGGTTTATCTGATGTTTCTTTAGGATCGGATTCAGGTTATACATTGAAGTGACATTGTGTCCTCCTCAATACGTCAGGTCAGCAGCGCATGATATTTATATCTTATGTCAAAGTGAACTGATGCTCACTTTGCTCAGATGTATTAAGTTGGTATCTTTGGTATTTTCACCTTTGTGAGTAATAAGTATATTTTGAGGAGATATTTAAAATATTTCATTTCTCATCAAGCTTTCATATTCAGTTTTCCATTGATTCTTGACTGTAACAATTAGCTGTGCTGTTTGCCAAATGATTTTTCTTATCCCCTCGTGCCTCTTTCATTTATTACTTGACATTCTGCTGTAATACAGAGCTTTCTTTTCTCCCCCATTTAAAAATTTATTCATTTATATCATTGGGGACTCATGAATTCTAAGATTATTGAGTAGAATATAACTCTTTATTATTTATTTTGTTGATTAAATTGTGCCATGGTTTTTACAAGGCCACTTCCAGGTTTGTTCCATTTATTTAAGGATTTAGAACATACAGACTATTAGCATTCACTAAAATCAGTGAGGCTCGTTTAATTATCTAATAATGTTTTTCTGTTTGTGGATAAAATATTAGAGTGGCTTTAATCAAGATTCTTTTTTTTAACTTTGAGTTTACAATCTAAATATAATTTCATGTTTGTAGATATAAAACCTAGAATTCTAAGCCAGTTCTAGTTTTTAAACTTAGAAGGATAAGAATGCTGCCAAAAAATAGAATCCTGCAGACTTGTTTCTAAAAATCTATGTACTTTTTCAGATCTAGTTTTTATTTCTAAGGGCTAATACTTTTTGAATTAGAAGGGAAGTATAAGCTCATTGTAAGTGCCTTAGAAGTAATAATTATTCCTAATGCCTTTTCCTTTTCTTTACAGGAGGAGAACTATTTATGCAGTTAGAAAGAGAGGGGATATTTATGGAAGATACAGCCTGGTAAGTGAAATTTTTGTGGTTACACGGATTCAGGTAATGATTCTTATAATTAAAAGCAATGTCTCATTCCCATTGCGGGCAGCCAAGCGATTCGTAAATTGATCTAGAGCCAGTCAGTCACTCAGAACTTCAAGGGGGAGAAGCAGCTTTGGGACTGAGCAGCTATTGTAGGTCATATCATTCCTTTGCCCCCAGGCCTTGGGTGGACCGCTCTTCACACCTGTTATTCCTAACAGAACCATTCTCATTGCGGCTTTCTTTCCTTGAATTGGTAAGCTGCTTGCCTTGGCTGTGGGTGAGTGTGGTTTTCCAGTGAACCTTTATGTGTGGAACAGTGGAAAGTATCAGAAATCATCTCCTCTTTTTTTTAGACTTTCCAGTTCCCAAGGTGCAGTCTTAGGGAAGTGATAAGCCTGCACATATCATCTGTGGATTGATTATGTAGCCAGGATGGGATCTACCCTCCTATTCGTAAGATGGCATCTGCTTCAGATTAAAATACACACATCCTTTTGTGAAGCAACAGTACTGGGTAAAAATGAATCAGTTTATCCTACACATTAATTGAATAGAAAACAACACCTAAATGTTTTTTCTACCTTAATTACCAAACTGCATTCCATTGTTTAATTTCAGGCCTTTTCTAACACAGAAGCTGCATTTAAGAGCCTTAGGGATGAAGTGCCCTTTTTTGGAGGAGGCTCTCTGAGCCCTGTTGGAGGCTGTGTTTGTGGTCCTGCTGGCTGTGAAACTGCCTCAGTCCTCTAGGACACACCCTCTCCATCCTGGAGTAATCTGCAGGATTGCAACCTTGTTATGCAGCCAGTATTGCAGTGCCTTGTGCTTTTCGAATCCAGACAGGGTTGATTCAGCCCTTTATTCTTTTGAGGTAGATAAATTTGAGTGTCACATAGTTTATAGTTGTGGGCTGGCTGGCAAGAGGGAGGGCAGGTACTGTGGGTATTGCTACCTGTAAATATACAGCTTGTTAAGGGATGAATGGGATTCTAAGGGTTAGGCTATATGGTAACTTTTAAAATCAAGATTTGATCTCTTAGAATAACAAAGTTTCTGTTTCCTGTGCAATTTTAAAGTTGTGGGTGGGTGGGAGGAATTTGCTTTGATCTGAATGAGTGTTGGCCTACACAGAACTGAAAATGATCAGTCACAGTTTAGCATAGTCTGACTTCTTTGCATATTTTAGCAGTATGTTCAAATGGCAAAATAAAACCGTTTATAATTTCACTAAAAGAGTGAAAAATAAACGTCCCCCATGCCTCTTGGCAGCATCCTATGCCATCTCTTTTCCCCATGTATTCCCTCACGTCACTAATTTGGTCTTTGGTGCATGTCTGTTTCTTTCAAGGAATTTTACTCCATTCATAAATTGCTTTGGGTAGATTATTCTTTTTAATTTATTAAATCACTTTTGTTTCCAGCTTTTACTTGGCAGAAATCTCCATGGCTTTGGGGCATTTACATCAAAAGGGGATCATCTACAGAGACCTGAAGCCGGAGAACATCATGCTTAATCACCAAGGTGGAGATAATATTATAAACAGTTTGTAGTAAATAATCATCTTAAAATCTTCCCACATAGGTCATGGCCATTTTCAAAGCCCCCATATTCATCTCTTTGCTATTAATACATTTGATCTCTCAGAATTTATGGCATCATAGCACTTGCTGATTTTTAAAAAATATTTAGGTATTTATAATTGATGAGAGTAAACCAATTTGAAGATAACTACTCTTTACGTCTTTTTCTTTTTTGAAAAAAATCTTTCATGACCCAAAAGCCAGTCCAAACATTAACTTTGATTTATTCCTAAATTTAAAGGTGAATTAAGTTTTAGTGGTGAAAATACAGTATTAGAATCAGTGTATTTTATTTTTAAAGACAGGGTCTCACTATGTAGCCTTCAAACTCATGGCACTTTCTACCTCAGCCTCCTGAGTGTTGAGATGAAGGGTATGTGCTACTTTCTGACATTGTGTGGAATCAGTATATTTTATGATACATTTTACTAATTCTGGAAAAAGAAAGGGATTTAAATTTAATGAAAATACAGCCTTGGAAATAAAATGTTTATTAGGTATTAGTTAATTCTTGCTATTTGTGATAACAGACAAATATTCTGTACAGGTATAGATTTAGCAAAGTGTGTCTACACAACTGCTTGCTGCTGCAGAGAGCTCAGTATCTGCTGCAGTAGTCTGGGCTGGGTAGATCTGGCAGGTCTTTACTCATACCTCAAAGGAGCAAATCACAGAGCAGGATATCTAGGGGGCTGGTAGAAGCTGCTGATCTTTAGATGTCTCCAAAGTGAGCCTTGAGGTAGTTAACTGTCTCAGACTCTTGGCCAGAAAGGCTTTATGGACAATTGAGGCCAATATAATTGTTCCAAATAATTTTTTTAAAGGAGAAATGACATAGTTAACCAAATACATCATGGGAATCAGTGTCTTTCCCTTCCCTCAACCAAGATCTGGATTCTGATTCTGAATTCAAAGGCAAGGGATAAAATATGAGAGTGATGGAATAGTAAACTTCTTTGATTTGTAAACTTGAGTATATCAGGTGGATCTGTGAAAATAAAGGCCCTATTTCTTCTGTATCAGAATATAGTATATACTTACATTTTAATCCGTAGGTCAGCCATTCCCTTTTTCTTTCTCTGAAATGAACCTGGAATAGTAGGGCTCTTGGTGGTGTTGAGCCTCTGGTTATCACCTGAAAGTTCATTAAAGCTAAACTTAGCTGAAATAATCTTTATACGAAGAGGAGCTCCACCTTCTGGAGCAGAGATGATTATCCTATGCTAATTTAAATTCTTAAATTTATTTGTAGCATTTGGCAGAGTAAGCTAATTTGTTACAGCGACTTTCTGAAACCATTTAAAGAACTCTCAGGTCATAGATTACTGTGATAAAAGCGATATGTTTGAAGTAGTGTCATGACTTTTGCTTAAAAGGTATAGAATACTGTATGTTTATTAGAGTCTGTTTACTTAACCAGACTTCAGAAAGAAGCTTTCCAGGACTTTTCCTTCTCAAGATTTAAGAAGATTCTGCATATAGGTAAAGCGAGAGAGTTAGACAAGCTGTTTTTTTTGTTGTTGTTGTTTGCTTTTTTTTTTAACTTTATCTTTACTAGAATGATTATATCATTGGCAAAAACTGACTGTCTTACCCTTTGCTACCTTATGGATGGCACCTACTTAATTCTTGACATCTTGAAGAGAAATTAAATCAAAGGATAGATCATTGTCTCATGTGATAAGTCAAATAGCACTCATGCTTAAAATAATCCTGCTGTAATCTTCATTGTAGGTCACGTGAAACTAACAGACTTTGGACTATGCAAAGAATCTATTCATGATGGAACAGTCACACATACATTTTGTGGAACAATAGAATACATGTGAGCTGCATGTTAAAAGAAATATAACTTGTGTGGGGGTAATACCTAACTTTTACCTGATTTAAGTAGTAGTGTTATAGTTTTCTGTAATACCGTTGGCTTTGTGTGTTGTTTTTACAATTCTAAAATTCTAATTCAGATGGTACATAAATGCGTGAATTTTTAGGCATAATATTTTTCTCATTGTAGGGCCCCTGAAATCTTGATGAGAAGTGGCCATAATCGTGCTGTGGATTGGTGGAGTTTGGGAGCGTTAATGTATGACATGCTGACTGGAGCAGTAGGTGCACAGTTAAAAGCTTCATGTATTATGGTCTGTGCTGAGTAGTTATTAAACCACTATAGCAAGAGACCTTTCCTTACTCTTTGAAAATATTACCAGTGGAGTTATTTTCAAAGCTTGGTTATCAGAAATTTAAGATAATATTGCCCTGTACTTATGAAATCCATACTTTTTATTTTGGAACCAGAGACCAAACTTGGGACCTTGAACTTGCAAGGCAGGCGGTAGAACCACTGAGCTAAATCCCCGGCCCTGAAATCCATAATTTTAAAAACACTTTTTTTTTTTTTTTTTTTTTTTTTTTTTATTTTTTTGGTACCAGGGATTGAACTCAGATCCTATTGCTTGCAAGGCAGGCTGTGGAACCACTGAGCTAAATACTTTAAAACATCTGTGAAATAGATGAGGATACATAATGCATTTGTTTTACAAGGGCAGAAATGGGCATAAAATCCCACAATCACTGATGATCATAGTGCAAGTTAATGGAAATCTGGCCTTCCTTCCAGGACATTTGCTACCTCCTCTATAGCATTGCTTAAAAACTACAGGTCTTTATTAGTTCATTCATTTCATAGCATAGATTTTTAAATCTTTTATAATTAGTTAATTCAGAAAATGAATACTATTTTAAAGGCTAATTTTTCTCATTTTCTTCTACCCTTAGCCTCCATTCACTGGGGAAAATAGAAAGAAAACAATTGACAAAATCCTCAAATGTAAGCTTAATTTGCCTCCCTACCTCACACAAGAAGCCAGAGATCTGCTTAAAAAGGTATTTTTGTTTTTTATGGTGCTGGGAATTGAACCCTGGGTTTCATGCTAGGCAAGCACTCTACCACTGAGCTGTGCTCCTAGCTCATGAGTAGGGTTCTAAACAGGTACTCAGATTACAAATTTTGACTACTAGGATTCTAGTTACCTAGATAGACTTTTTTTTTACCTCAGCATTGGGCATTGGAACCTTGCACATGTCAGGCAACTACTGATGTGGCCTTTTATAGTCCTTTTTATTTTGAGAGAGTGTCTTGCTAAATTGTCCAGACTGGCCTTGAATTTGTAATCTTCCTGCCTTAGCCTCCAGATTAGCTGGGATCATAAGCATGGGCTACCATGCTCAGCTATATAGAATTGAAGATCTGTTTTGAATAAAGAATCATATATAAACCAGGCATGGTGGCACAGGCCTATAATCCTAGCACTGGGAGGCTGAGGCAGAAGGATACCAAGTTTGAGCCTAGCCTAAACAACTTAGTGACTTAGTGAGACCCTGCTTTGGAATAAAAAATTTAGAAAGGGTTGAGAATGTAACTCAGTGTGAAGTCTCTGGGTTCAGTCTGAATACTACCATCAAAAGAAGAAGAAAGAATCACACATAGATATAGATTTTGAGAACAAAATACAAAATTAGAGATGTCTTTTTGTTCTCAGGCAGTATTTGGTGGTAATTAATAAGTTATATTTTCTCAAGGCAAATAGACAAGCACATTATGAACGGAGAAAAGAAACACAATTGGACTGTTTTTTACCACTGCTTATTTTTTTCTCCCTAAAGCTGCTGAAAAGAAATGCTGCTTCTCGTCTTGGAGCTGGTCCCGGGGATGCTGGAGAAGTTCAAGTAGGGATTGGCATGGCTGGCATTTTGGGAAAGGATAATACTAACTTACTTGTGAGGGTTGTGTGTAGTTGCTTAGAAATTTAAGTTTATTTTGTGAATTGTAACTTCTTAAAAGTTTGTCACAGTCTATTCGCCTTGACTTTTTCTGTTTTTTTCTAGGCCCATCCATTCTTCAGACACATTAACTGGGAAGAACTTCTGGCTCGGAAGGTGGAACCCCCTTTTAAACCTCTGTTGGTATGTATACCTGAAAGCATGTCATTTCAGGGGCCAGGGTCTTTTATAGAATGGGGAAAATCTCAGCTGACAGGAACATTATGGTTGTTAAAGAAACTTTGGTCTAACCTCTTTTTATACTTTTGTATTCCCTCAGAAACAAATAAAAACAATAAGTAATACCAGCATTAATTGCCCAGGGTGGCCTTGAACTTGAGATCCTCTTGTCTTGCTTCCCAAATAGCTGGAGTTATAGATATAAACCACCATACCAGCTGTTTTTAACTTGGTTTAGTATTCCAAGAAAAATATTTTATTTGTTTGTATTTATTTATTCTAATTTATTTTTGAGACAAGGTCTTGCTTATGTTGTTCAGACTGGCCTTGAACTCAGTATGGAGGCCAAGGTGGCCTCCAACTCACAGCAATCCTCCTGCCTCAGCCTCCTAAGCGCTGGAATTACAGGCATGGGCCACCATGCCTGGCTTTTTTTTTTTTTTTTTAATTTTATTGAGTTTATTGGTACATTTTAGGGATACAGTACAGTTACATTCATTGTTGGGATCATGTACCTTTACATGGCAAGTCTTGATTCTCATTTTTTCCCCTTACCTCTGCCCTCCCTTCACCCCCTCCTCCCCTCCCCATCTACAAACACTTTATTTTCATCTTTTCATTCTCTCACATTTTTTTCTGCTGGCTTTTATTTTTTGAGACTATTGTCCAGGCTGGCCTTGAATTCACTATGTAGCCAAGGTTGGCCATGAACTTACAGTGATCCTCTAAAATATACTTTTGAATAAAAACTTCAAGACATAGTGGGTTTTGTGAATGAAGTCAATGTGGTAATCTTTTACTATTAAATCAGAGTTTTAAAAAATTTTATTTATTCCTTATACTGTATTTGGCCAAAGAGTCTTAACTGGATGTATTTGGAAAGAGAGGAGGATTAAAGAAATAAATCTGGTGGCTTGGCCTTAGGTGCTGCTATTCTTCCACAACCAACTACTCAGGGTAATCCTCCTGCCTCAGCCTCCTGAGTGCTGGGATTATAGGCATGTGTCACCATGTCCAACTGTTCACATTTTTTTTTGTTTTTTTGAGACAGGGTCTCACTATGTAGTTGAGACTGACCTGGAACTCACTGTATAGCCCAGGCTGGTCTGGAACTCATAGCAATCCTCCTGCCTCAGCCTCCCGAGTGCTGGGATTACAGGCATGCGCCACCATGCCTGGCTACATTTTTAATAGGATTGATAACTATATACTAGATGTATATTAATGTTTAAGAGTTGAAGATGTAATTTCACTGCTGACCTTTCCATCTGCACTTTTTCTTTGGTCTGTGCTTGCTGAGACTCTTCTGGTATTACACTCTACCTAGAGCTTGCAACACATTTGATTGATATTTGTAATGTACATTATTCACCATTTTCTAATAATTGTTTTTATAAAGCAATCTGAAGAGGATGTGAGTCAGTTTGATTCAAAGTTTACACGTCAGACACCTGTTGATAGCCCAGACGACTCAACTCTCAGTGAAAGTGCCAACCAGGTCTTTCTGGTAAGTGAAATAAGTAAGTATGAGAATGATCTCTTCAATTAAATTTGCTTTGAAGTTCATGGAGATAACCTAGCTAACTTGTTCTTAAGTTATCACTTTATTATTATTTTTTAAGCTATCATAACTTTATTCTTTTTTTTTTTAAGCTATCACTTTAAAACTTATTGCTACCTACAAAATCAGTTTTTTAAAAATCTAACTTTCCCTTAAGGGTTTTTGTTACGCTGATACTTGTTCATCAAAAAAATAACCAAATTATAATCATTGGCCTCAAATCAGAAGTATCACACATGCTAGGTGAGAGAATTCTAGTTTTAGTTTGGCCTAATTATGAAAAACTGAATTGAGGCTGATCACCTAAGTTGTTTATTGTTTTTAATTTTTTTTTTCGCTTTAATTGAGTTTATTGGTACATTTTAGGGATACAGTACAGTTACATTCATTGTTGGGATCTTGTACCTCTACATGACAAGTCTTGATTCTCATTTTTTCCCCTTACCCCTGCCCTCCCTTCACCCCCTCCTCCCCTCCCCATCTACAAACACTTTATTTCCATCTTTTCATTATCTCACATTTTTTTCTTTTCCCTTTTTATCCTTCCCCTACCCATCTCACCTTCCCTTAGTTGTTTATTATATGCACATAGCTGAAAACAATAGAATTTTCTTTGCATTTCTGTTCTTATTTAACATTTTTCCTTTTTTTTGAGTCAGGGAATTTTTTTTTCCTTTGGTGGTACCAGCAACCAAACTCAGGACCTTGCACTTGTGAGGCAGGCTGCAGCACCAGTGACTTAAATCCCTTGCCTTGGGACTCACTGTTTTGCACAGGCTGGCCTTGAATTCTAGATCTGCCTGTCCCAGCCTCCCAAGGTGCTGGGATTGTAGGCGTTGGTCACCTTGCCCAGCTACCTTTTTTTTTCGCCTACTCTTAACAGAATGGATTTTGTTTCCTGGCTAATGGGGCTAACTCAATAAAATACTGTTTTCTCGATGTCTGTGCCTTAAGAAATGGCTGGATATTGGGACGGGTATGTACCTTAGTGTAGGATGTGTCCTGGGAGGCTTCAGGCCCTGGTTTCAATTCTGGAAAAAAAGGGGGAGCTGCATGGTTAACACGTGTGAAAATGAGATTTGAAGAGATGGGAGAGTATACACATTGGTAATTTCACTGTTTTATTTATATTCTTTGTAATGCTATGAATATTACCCAAGACCTCACGTATGTTATGTACTGTGTACCACTGAACCACGCCTCTAGCCCAACATTGGTGATTTTATTTATTTTGGTAAATGGGATCGAACTCGGGACCTTGTGCTTGTGAGGCAGGCAGCAGAACCACTGAGCTAAATCCTCAGCCCCAGGATTGGTGATTTTAGATGTGCATCATGTTGGTGTATCAGTTATTGAATACACAATTTCTTGATGTATGTAACAAAATGCCATCCTGTGGTCCATTGTTAAAACTGTCTTTCAGGGTTTTACATATGTGGCTCCATCTGTACTTGAAAGTGTAAAAGAAAAGTTTTCATTTGAACCAAAAATCCGATCACCACGAAGATTTATTGGCAGTCCACGAACACCTGTCAGGTATTTCAGAGACTTGTTATTCTTGGTCTTTTAAAAAAATAATTCTTTTTTTTTTTTTTTTTTTTTTTTTTCAATTGAACTTGGGTCCTTGTGCGTGCAAGGCTGAACTAAATCCCCAGCCCTAAAAAATAATTCTAGAAGACAACTGCTTAAGACATTTATGCCAAGTTACATGAGTGAAAGATCTGTCATATTCTTGGTGAATGGAAGCACAGCATCTACATGTCCTTGTATTACAAAGGACTAGTCGATGACTAATCTAACATAGGTTATATAGTTTACCTTCCCTCCTAAAAGTAAGCTGCTGCACCGGCAAATGCTCTCCTTATCCACTCACTCAACATTTACTGTGCACTAGAGGCTGTGCTACATGCTTCATATTATATGATGATGTATGCATAGTACACATAATGTAGAAATGCCCTCTGACCTGAGTAAGCTTATAGTTTAGTGGGAGAGTCACAATAAAGATGTAAATATGAGCAAAAAAAATGTAACAACAGGCAGTGCTAAGTGCTATACTGAAAAGAAAAAAAGCTGGGTGTGGTAAAATATGCCTGTAATCCCACCCACTTGCAAGGCTGAGGCAAGAAGACTGAAGCCAGCCTGAACAATTTAACAAAATCCTGTCTTAAAAAAAAAAAGTGAAGGGAAAACTGTGGCTATAGCTCAGTGGTTATAAGACCCTGGGTTCAGTCCCTACTAAAGTGGTAGGAGAAGGCAAAGGAAAATAAGGCAGCTTTTACTACCTTCTGGTCAGAGAATAAAGAGAGCGCAACTATGCAAAAAGATAGGAAGTTCACAAATGTTGCAAGCTGAAGAACAGCAGGAGCAGAAGCCCTTAGGAGGAAAAACCTTGGCCTTTCCTTGAAAGTGAAAGGGAAGTCAGTGTTCCTGGAATGAGGTGAAGTGAGGAGGAAAATGGCAGAGTTTGGAAAAGTATCTTATTTAAAAACAATTTTTTTTTTTTTTTTTTTTTTTTTGTACCGGGGATCAAACGCAGGTCCTTGGGCTTGCGAGGCAGGCAGTGGAACCCCTGAGCTAAATCGTTGGCCAAGTACCTTACTTTAAATGTAATGGGAATCTGTGTTAAGTGTGGGAACAGAATGACTTAAAAATATGTATCATGTAGGATTTTAGGAGTTGAGTATAGAGGTAAAGAAACCAGTTAAGATATTCTGGCAATTACTTTAGGGAAGAGATGGCTCAACGTTTTTGCCCTTGAGCCAATCCACTTGAAAATAAATTTAAATGAAAAAATATATATGGCTCTTCTCCCTTTAAATAAAAGGGAGATACTTTTTTGTTGAGGTGATCATTGAGACAAATGAATGATAGCTCTTCCTTGTCTTAAAGCCCAGTCAAATTTTCTCCTGGGGATTTCTGGGGAAGAGGTGCTTCAGCCAGCACAGCAAATCCCCAGGCGTCTGTGGAATTCCCAATGGAAACGAGTGGAATAGAGCAGATGGATGTGACCATGAGTGGGGAAGCATCAGCACCACTTCCAATACGGCAGCCAAACTCGGGGCCGTACAAAAAACAAGCTTTTCCTATGATCTCCAAGCGGCCAGAGCACCTGCGTATGAATCTATGACAGAACAATGCTTTTAATGAATTTGAGGCAAAAAAGAAAACACAAAAAACTGGGAGGGGATATGCAGGCATCCTACAAGATGAAAAAGGAGAATCAAAATGACAGTCTCAAGAGTCAGTTTCATTACCTAGAACACTTTGGACAAAGGAAAGAAATATGGATTTTTTTTAAAAAAATCAATCAATGGTGCAAAAAAAAAAAAAAACTTAAGCAAAATAGTATTGCGGAACTCTTAGCTACATTAATTGATTCCTAGCAACATCTCAACGTTATCAAGGATTTTCATGTTGATGGTTCGAATATTGACAGTATTAAGAATAGGATGTTGCTTCTGAATCACTTCTGATTATGTCGAAGAAGGGTTATCCTTTCATTAGGCAAAATATGAAATTGCCTATAATACTTGCAACTAAGGACAAATTAGCATGCAAGCTTGGTCAAACTTTTTCCAGCAACATGGAGTCAAAGACAAAAGAAACTTACCAATTGATGTTTTACGTGCAAACAACCTGAATCTTTTTTTTAATATAAATATATATTTTTCAAATAGATTTTTGATTCAGCTCATTATGGAAAACATCCCAAACTTTAAAACATGAAATTATTGGTTGATGTGAAGAAAGCCAGACAGCTTCTGTTTCTTCTCTTGATGAAATAATAAAATGCAAATGAATCATTGTTAACCACAGCTGTGGCTCCTTTGAGGGCTTGGGGTGGACCTGGGGTTTATTTTCAGTAACCCAGCTGCAATACCTGTCTGTAATACTAGGAAAAAAAAATCTATTTAATCATTTCTACTTGCAGTACTGCTATGTGCTAAGCCTAAATAGAAGCCTTGGAATGGGCATAAGTTGTATGTCCTACATGTCATCCTTGTCCTGGGCCTGCATTGCACTGAAAAAAAAAATTGCCACCTGTTCTTATACCAGTATTTGGTTCAAGACACCCGATGTATTCAGCCCATGGCTGAAAAAGGATGGAAGAGTCAGGATAAAATGTATGAGGGCAACAAAGCGGGGGAGATGGAGATTTCCAGGGAGAGAGAGAGAGAGTATTGCTGTGGCCCACTCTCTGATCTCTGCAGCAAATTGGTAAGGTTTTTAGTTTTACTTCTTACTGTTTTTGCTGTCCACCTTCCTTAATATTTTTTCCTCAACAACTTTAAGAAGGAAAACAGGTCTAATGTTTTTTCTCCTATGCTGGGGCTACACTTTTTGATTGTAAAAATACTTGATGGCCTTTTAATGAGTGTCTTCCACAGTGAATAAGAAAACTAAGTGGCTTCACTTAGGAATCATGTTGACAGGACACTGTTTTTGAAATTGTAAGAAAATCTACACAAGTGATTTACAGGTACAAAAAATAAAAATAAAGGTAACTTTATCTTTCTTAAATACTTCCTGCCTTAAAGAGAGCATTTCCATGACTAGCTGGTGAAAGGGTTTAATATCTGCAGAACTGTATAAAAAATATATTTCAGTGCAAACTGGTATAAGTAGATCATGCAGTTACAGTTGATTCTTACCACTTCTTTTTTGTCTTTTATAATGTCTTCAGTCTGAATGTCAGTCAATTTGTAAGTTTGCAACCCTAGATTTTTTTAAATAGATGCTGCTTGCTATGTTCTCCAAACCTTTTTGAGCCATAGGATCCAAGCCATAAAATTCTTTATGCATGTTGAATTCAGTCAGAAAAAGCAAGGCTTTGCTTATTAAATTGTACTTTATGTGAAATAGAAGGAAATCAGTACAGAAGCAAAACCAGAACCAAGAAAAATGATTGAAAATACACCATTTCAATTGTGGCAATAAATGAAATAATTGATAAAAAAAATTATCTTTGGACAGAAAACCCTATTTTTAAAAATCATTTTTCTCTAGACCCTTCTCTTATTGCAGCAGCGTACTGAGAATTTTATAATTGTACCTAGTAAATTAGAAGCTAAATCATAATTAAGGACAGAAATTGTACTTAACATGCAGATCTTTGTTTTCTGACAATTTGTGATGTCTGGGGGAGAAAAAACCCAAAAAGCTATGGTTATATATAGGAATTATTTCAGACTGTAAATGGCTTGTATTACTCTGATACTTGTTTTCAAATGTGTTTACTAACTGTAGTGTTGACTGCCTGACCAAATTCCAGTGAAACTTTTACACCAAAATATTCCTTCTCAGTCCTATTCGCTAGTAACATGTGCACTGTGACTGGCTATTACCACCCCATAGTTAAACTGTTTTGATCATTAGTACTGACAGTAATAGTGGCAAACACCACAACTTTTTTGCATAAAAGCACTAATTGCACATCTACCATCCACACAAATGCTAGTTTTTCTAAGTTAACATTTATTAAATTAAATTAATTTCCCATGCTGTGGCAGGTTTATTGAGAAATTGTTTCATAAATGACAATATTCCTATTATGACTGTGAAAACATGTCAAGTGTCACTTTAGTGTCACAGACAGAAAGCACACACCTATGCAATATGGCTTACCCTATATTTATTTGTAAAAATCCAAGCATAGTTTAAAATAGAAGATGTCAATATTATTAGTCTTGAGTTTCTAAGAAGGTTCTTTATGATTATACCAGGTAAGTGAATAAGATTAAGTGCTTTTCTTTCATCACTTGATTATTTTCTTTAAAAATCAGCTATTATAGGATTTTTTTATTTTATACATGCTGTTTTTTAATTGAAATGTAATCACCGAAGTTTACTAATTTGCTTTTATAAAGGTTTGTAGCATTACCAAATAACTAAACTGGGATTTATAAACCAGCTGTGATTAACAATGTAAAGTATTAATTATTGAACTTGAACTGGATTTTTAGAAAAATTGTTATTTCCTTTTCTTCTTTATGGTCTTAAATAATTTGAATCCTTCAAGGACTTTTCCATGCTATTTTTTGAGACAGAAGATAATGTGAGGTAGGGGGAAGAGGATGCATGTGTTAAACTCCATAAATTCAACATTCTTTCCTATAGGTAACAAATGATTATAAACAAGATGCATCTTAGATAGTACTAATATCCTGAGCATTGGATTTCATACTTAATATAAGACCTAAATTTTTTGAATATTCAGTTAGTCACATGATTCCTAGCTTACAAGGGCTAGATCTAAGATTATTCTCATAAGAAATGTTGAATTTATGAAGAATGGATTTTGAGACTTTGAAAATGGTTTACCTCTAAAATAAAAGAATGTCCCAACATCTACATTTTTTGTAGTAGTAGGCATTAGCAAGCTGGACAGAACTTATCAAAAAAAAGTATTTGTCCCACAAGAGCTGTGGTCTATTGCTGATTAATACAGTATTTTTGTGTGATTTCTGGCACTACAGCACAAGTATTATCTCAGTGGATTATTTGGAGTAACATCTCAAAGATGGGTTCATCTCTGTTTGTGTTTGCTCTTTAAACTATTGTGTTTCTACTGTCCCAAGTTGGCTCTGTGTTCATTAAATAAATTCTTCAGCTGCCTTATTAGGAGTGCTATGAGGGTAACATCTTTTCTGCTTTTCATCTTGTATTTAGTTTACTGTATTGAAATAATTGATTTCAGATCAAATGAATGTAAATAGAAATTAAATGCAAATTTGAATGAACATAAAATAGTGATTTTTTATTATCTTAAGGGAGGAAGAAAACTATATATCAGGTGTACAATTTTATTAATATGTCAGATGTGTTCAAGATCTCATATTTAATAAACTATGTTTGTAAGGAATGACATTTGTAAAAATTTCTGCTGAGAAACTGAAGCTATTTAAATATTTAGTATTGATTTTTATGTATTAGATGTTACACATCTTTGATTTTCAAGTTATGTCAAATAGTAGATTTGAATTATTTTCTTAAAAAATTCATGTGAGACACACTATATTAAAGCTGGTGTCACATAAAAACACTAGAATACTTTCTTGTGCGAACAGTCAACTTACTGAGCCACACTTCTTAATTATATTTGAGGTATATGCATAAAATAATAGTGCAAAAACCTGTTAACTATTGTCTCATTATCTACTGTAAGATGGGCATTTTATGTAAATCACTTATCTATATCACACTTGCCAAGATGGTATATCTCACAGAAGTTCTCAAACTGATATTATCCTTTCATAATACATGGTAGCATCTCTTAATGCTGGTACATTAATGTTTTAGAGGACATGAACATGATCTGAATTTACAGAATAATTGGGAACTACATTCCTCTTTCTCTGAGGTGAAGGACTAGAAAATAAAAGTACATAAATGCTTCCAGTTCATAATGGCATACTTCTATTTTTTCCCCCTATTTTCAGTTCTTTGCCTGCTCCAAACCCCCACCATCCACCACCAATTGTCATTTAATCATATTGAGAAACAAAGTGTCTGGAGAGCCACTATGTTAAATAGGTGTGCCAAATAGGTATTGTAATAGGGCTGAATGCTACTCTTGTATTCTGATCAGGCAGTCATTTCAACTATCTTGCACAGCCAAATTTTAATCCCAGATTGCTTTTCTCACCTATCTTCTGCTACATATCTAAGTAATACAACTAAGTTTCACCAAACCAGGAAAATGATTTAAGACCAAGTAAGCTTGTTTAAATATTTGCAGTGGTTCTCAAAGTAGATAGATACCTTGTGGTAGATGAATAGAAACTACTTATAGCCAGGGCTCAGTGGTTCTGCCGCCTGCTTCACAAGCACAAGGTCCCAAGCTCAATCCCCAGTACAAAAATACAAGAAACAGTACTTATAACCAGCCTGTATTTACCTGGGGAGAAAGTTAGATTTCCTAAGGTTCCCTTGTCAATTTGGGTAGCTATACTGGCATGAAAGTGACTTCACCTATAGCCAGTTGGTCACTTTATTAACCCATGTGCTGGTTTAGCCTTTGTCTTCTAAATACTGCAAATTTGTCTTCTTCTTCTTTTAAGCTCTCTTTTGCACTATCTTACACTGATTTTGGTTTTTTGAGACAAGGTCTCACTATGTAGTTCACACTGCTGTGGAACTCACTTTGTAGACCAGGCTGGTCTCGATCTTGCAGTGATCCTCCTGCCTCAACCTCCTGAGTGCTGGGATTACAGGTGTGCGCTACCACACCCAGCTTGGTTTGTTTGTTTTTGTTTTTTGATACTAGGGATTGAACTCAGGATCTTGTGCTGTGCTGTGCTGCTGAGCTACATCCTCTACTCTTGCACTATCTTATTTGTGTAGAAATTGATAGATGGTAATAAATTGGCAGAACATTGTTCAAGTCAGGTATAACCGCTAGCAGCCCTTTAGAGCTGGGTGTGGTGGTGTGTCCATTTAATCCCAGCACTCAGGAGGATGAGACAGGAGGATGAGCAGGAGTTCAAGGTTAGTCTGAACTACATAGCAAGACCCTGTCTCAAAACACACACACAAACAGACTTCTGTATTTCAGACTCTTAGATTAAGGGGAAAGAGAAAGTGCCTTATTCTTCTTCCCACCACTCTACCTAAATTAACTAGAAGCAAACAAACCGCATTTCCCAAAAGCTTATGATTCCAATAGTGCAAGCTTTTCCCCCCTTAGTGCTGAGGATAAAATCCAGGGCTTATCACATGCTAGGCAACCACTCTGCCACTGAACCACAACTTCATTCCTAAAGTGTACATTTTAATATCCCAATTAATGGTGACTCAAGCCTAAGATTTCAAAACTTTTCTGGAGATTAGTTATAAAGGCATTCTTTTTAGAGATTTTATGGAGTTGATTTTGTTTGTTCTTGGTGGGGATCAACCCAGGAAGACCTTATATATGCTAGGCAAGCTCACCACTAGTAAAGTATCCTTAGTCCCCACAAGAATTAACATTCAAGATCCTCCATGGTGCTGTAGGAACAGCAAGACTGAACATTAATGCAGATGGCAGGAAGAAAGTATAAGGTCTACAAACATTAAATCATTTATTCTCACTGATTACTAATACTATAGAGAATTAAATATTAAAATATACTGAGTAAACTAATCTTTATTTAGAAAGTGATTATTACAAGTAAAATATAGTATTTAGAACTTTCATTTAAAAATACAAATTTTATGAAAATTTTAAGCAATTTTAGAATGGCAATTATAAAAGTCAATGTTGAAAATTCTTTTGGATTATATATCAAAATATTGTGAAAAATACTCTTTATTCTGAAAACTATGTCAGGAAAGAATACCTGAATCCTTTCAAACCATAGTTCTAGTTTCTAATTGCTGTTTTGGTAATAACAAGAAAACATATTTACAATTTAACACTGAAATTATATGTAAAATAAGGATATAATAAATTGCATATCATTAGGTTGAATATTACATACTTTTTATAATACAGGGTCCTTTCATTTACTCTTCTGATAAACTGAACTATACCCAAAAGCTTTGTAAGATTCTAAAATGATTTGGAAACATTTTTGTCTAGCCCTGAAAATACATCCTAATGCCTTTGCCAATAGTCACTGTAACCAAATTAGTGTTTTGTGGCCTTAATAATTTATACCATTTAATATATTTGAAGGTGTAATGAAGTGGCTCCATCTTTCCATTTGTTTATACGGTCTGAAATTACAGTTCTGCACAGTGGACATGTTTTCTCTCTGTTAAACCACAAGGTAATACATTCTTCACAAAATATATGCTGTAAGAGAATTAAGAACTAGATTAAGAATCATATTCTTTAGAGCTGAAAGGGATTTTTGGAGAACACTAGTCTTCACATTTTACAAATGAGAAAATGGTGAAAGTATGACACATTCGAAAAGAGTGGTTTTGTTGCGGAAAGAAATGGCAAAAGGTCAATCACTGACACTGCTTTTAGTGCGATCAGCCTTTTGTTGGCAAAATAAACCTTTTATTATTTTACTTCCATTATGCATCTCTGTGCATGTCATTTATCAATTCCTTCTGTAACAGTTTTAGTCACAGAGCCACTAATATTTTTCTGACTTTACTAGCTATTTACTTTTTTTGACATAGGGTCTCACCATGTAGTTCAGGCTGGCCTTGGACTCATTATGTAGCCCAGGCTGGTCTCAAACTGTCATCAGTCCTCCTGCCTCAGCTTCCTGAGTGCTGGGATTACAGGCATGCACTACCACGCCCAGCCTCATTTACTCTTTTAATAGTCTTTGAGGCAGTAATTGCCATAAAGAAAGAACCTTATATATTCCAGAACCAGGTATGTGTACTGTCCTATAATACCAGCATCCATTTATTTTTAAAAAGCCTACCAATCACTTTTAGTATCCAATCTTCCAGTTGAATTATTTTCCCCTTAACATACTCCTCTGCTATAATGAATGTGATCATCATGTATATCTAAGATGTACTACTAAAATTAATTTAAAAAATACTCGCTGCATAAAAATACCAGAATATAAGGGACAGGATTTAGCCAATGAAGCAAACACCTAATCATGAATAAATCATTAGTATGTACTATACTCTGAATGGTGCCTTCTAAATAGTAGCTTTTTTTAGTAGTAATAGTAGCTGTTTTTGCTGTATGACAAACATAAATGTGACTTAAGTCACGGGAAAGTGGCATGTGTTCAGCTTGCTTAAAAATGTAATTACCTGGCAGATGAGTAGAACTGGCTTCTGAAATTCAGCCTGACATATTGAACAAATATCATCCACATCTGAACACTGTCTCTTGCTGGCAGCTACTCCATAACTCTATGAAAATAAGTTACATCAGCTGTAAATTTTTTTTTCCTGTTCCTCAAATACATACTTCTTTGTATGTATTTGTCAGATACATACTTTGTACTTCTCAAATCTCTCTGGAGCCCAGCATTTCAAAACTTTTCCATGGACACAAATTTCATAGAGGAACCACATATGAACAATAGCACTACGACTACAAGGCAAAATGCTTAAGTAGTACATAATAGGACTGTGCAAGACTTAAATCCACTGGATTCCCAAATGATGCCAGTCCTTTAAATTCAACACAAATGGCTTAAAAGACTAAGCAATCTAAAATGTAACTTAATATTATAAAATCTATATTTATGTATGCAAGTACCCAGGATTGCCAAATTTGAGCCCACTTACTACCTATGACAGTAGTTCATAAAGTCAATCCAGAGTGGCTAGTTAAATGTAAGTCATGTGAAGAGCTTGCTTTAGAAATAAGGATGTGGCTAAGTAGAATTCTTGGCTAGCATGTGTGAGGCCTCTAGGTTCATTCCAAGCATAGGGTTTAACAACAACAAAAAAGGCATCTGTATTCCACACTGGACATTCATTTGGTAGGCCCAGGCATCTAGCATATGACTCAGGAATTTCATGAAAGGTCTTGAAGTTTAATTCACTGTAGAGGTTTCAGAACCACTGAACAGTCTAATACTAATCAAAAAATAATTTTAATTACCTTTAGGAATAAAATTTGATAAACCAAAATTTACAAAAGTGATTGCAAGATGTCACTGGGATAGCAAAACAGCTGTTACAACTAATGATTAATGAATAATAATGCAATTCTTAGAATTTTACTTTTATTCTACTGTCCTAAAAAGAATTTCTGAGCTCTTTAACTTAACCTCCTCACCAAATTCAGCAGGACTTAGTTACTAACTAAATGTGACAGTTTAAGAATACTTGGGGAAATTTGGAAGAATCAAAATGTTATAAATGAGACCAGGAAGAAATGATGGAGAAAAGGCAGTTATGGGAACAGGTAAAAAATGACTTATCTCAACATACATGAAGTTATCTAAAATTCTTGTACTAAATGTCTAGGGATAACAAAACCAACTAAATTACAAGGAATAAAAATATTAAAAAATTAGCCAAGCATGGTAGCAAGCATCAGTAATTCCAGCACTTGAAAGAGGCCAAGGCAGAAGATCTTTATGAATTCAAGACCAGCCTGAACTACAAAGTGAGATCCCATATCAACACAAATCCCCAAATTAAACATGTTTTTGAGGCTGGTAACATTAAAAATTTCAGGGTTAGGGCCAGGGATTTAGTTCCGTTGGTGCTGCAGCATGCCTCAAAAGTACAAGGTCCTGGGTTCAATCCCTGGTCCCAAAAAAACCCACAAAGTTTTAAAAAGAGCAGGAGATAGCCAGGTGTGATGGTGCATGCCTGTAATCCCAGTACTCGGGAGGTTGAGGCAGGAGGATCACTGTGAGTTCAAGACCAGCCTGGGCTACATAGTGAGTTCCAGGTCTATCTCAACTACATAGTGAGACCCTGTCTTTAAAAAAAAAAAAAAAAAAAAGCAGGAGATAAAGCTCAGAGTAAAGGTCCTGGATTCAATCCCCGGTACTACAATAAAGAGACAGACCATAAATAAAGATGCCCTGGCTGGTTAGTCTAGATCAGTTGTAGACAATCTTTTTTTTTTTTTGGTACCAAGGATTGAACTCAGGACCTTGTACTTGTAAGGCAGGCAACTGAGCTAAATCCCTGGCCCTAGACAATCCTTTTTTAACAGTGTATGTATTAGGTTGACATTCCTGTCAATTAGTCCCTTGAGGCCTAAACCAAATAACTGTTTAAGGACTTAGTGACTGCAAAGCTGATGATCAAGCATTGAAATGTGATCACTTTTAGATACTGGGAACTTTTGAAGCTACTAAATAGTCAATCAGGCTTTTCTATGATACCTTTCTTTCCAATTTGTAAATAACAACAGAATCATAAAATCATGTTTCTAATTGACAGTGGAATCTCTATTATTAAAATCCTTCCTGTGGACTTATTTGTGCATGCAGAATTGAGTAATGGGGAAATTTCTTCCAGTAAGAAAACTATAAGGGCCATAATTTTTGGTAATGAGCTTTCCTCAAAAACACAAATTATAGTTGAAGCATTTTCATAGAAGTTGCATAGAGATAAAATATACAAGCCTACCATTTGTGGATTAAAAAAGGAAAAAGAAAAGTTCATGAAAAAATAAAGTGTTTATGAGAAATCCTTTAAAATGTCAAATGATTTGAAATGATAGGCACATTCTAATACATAAAGCACTCCAGTAATAGGTAGGTTCAA